CCCCCAAACCCCAAAACCCCAAAACCCCATTTTTTCAAAATTTTTGAAATCGCAAGATATTTTTTTAATCATAATCAATAATATAATCTTAATTTTGGCAATCTCATAATCATCTAGTAATATATAATATTCTAAATCACCATGCCTCTTTCCTTTTCTTTTATCTTAATTGTATAAAATCATCATCTAGTTCCTCAATCTAAATTCTATTTTGTATAGGTGGTATTTGAGTCTGTATTTTTCTGAATGTAGGATTAGCATCATTCATATTTCTAATGCTGATGTCTTGAGCTATCGATAAACTATCATTTTCTTCAAGTGGGTCACTTGATCCACTATTACTATTATTGTTATTACTTGGTAAAAGGTTTTATTCAGACTAAATCTTCTCTTAACTTAAAAGTTCTTTAGTTGACTATTCATGCTAGGTTCCCTGTAACAATGGTGATTGCTAATTTATTTCAGTTTGCATTCTATTGACAGGCAATTTAAGATTATAATTACTCTAATACTTTTCATTTTTGTTCCTATAGTGATAAACTCTTGGTAAATATACTTACATGCTATTCATAAATGACCTTTTTCGATGATCTTCTTCCATTGCTTAAAGCAAAGTCTAATTTTTAGTCTAAAATATATTAGGATATTCATTCTCCTCACCTCCATTATTGTGTAGAAGAGTAGAGGGACTTTTGCTGTAATCAGGCAAGTTAAATGGCGACATCATGCTCTTATGTCTATGATTGACTTATTTTCTACTAATATATGAAGGAGAATTAGCCATGTTGTTGAGGTACTCCCGTTCTCTCTATTGCTCTTATTCAAACCTTTCAATCATGCTCTACTTTTCCAATTCTTTGCTTATCCTCTATTTAATCTGCTTCTTCTTTTTCCACTTCTTGTATTCCTTATCTTCAATTAGCTTCGATTTATTCTTAAGCTTTTATAATTTATAATTCCTCCACTTCTCTTTCATTTAACTTACTGTGACAATGATGATTACAACCCAGTTAATTATGATGTACACACCAATGACTAAAATAATAATCCAGCCATACATATTAGATTTTTCTTCAGGAATGTCCTTATCGAGAAATAAGATTGAAAATACATGCAAAAACAAAAGCAAGCCTTCTCCATAGGCTGTAAGTATCATCATAATTCTTTGTTTTTAAGGCTTAATAACTACAACATAGATCATCATAGCAATAGCAGTCGCACTCATAAAAATGATCTGTAAAAACGGTTTATCATTAAGCATAACCAGTGAGATAGCAAAGATAGCTCTTCTTAGAAGGAATACTGGATAGTACATATATCTGATTGGGTGACTTAGATCGACCTCACTCACTATAGTAGAGTAAGCAGCCATGAACTTTGGTGTTTCGATTCTTATATAATTTCTCTATAAGATATTCATCAGTAAAATAGGCAGGTAAGTCAGTATAATGCCAAAAGCTATAGCAGTAAAAGCAGATACAGTATTCTCCATAGTGGACAGATCCATCTAGAAAATGCCAAGGATGAATGCCAGATACATTGAAACATAAGACATAATGACTCCTCTCAAAAGCATGGTGTATCTAAATTTAGATTCAGCATCTACCCAAACTCTGCAAAACTTGTGCTTGTCAGCATATTTCCTCTTCATGTACCAAACAAAGGGATAGGCTAGGATGATTAGAGTCCAAAGAATGATTTTTCTTCCTGATAAGTAAATGAAATTACTGATTTTCCATCCATAGGCATTAAATCTAAAATTCAATGCTGGTTCCAATTCAACAGTAGTACCTGGCCGAGCTATCAACTTATCATATAACAAATTAGGTATTATTGTAGACTCTCCATGTGATCCAAGCATTTTCTCAAATATCAAGAGAGTGATTCCTGGGTAATTGACATCACATAGCGGAAGCAGACTAATTAGCTGAATTGTGTTAACCATTGTCCACATTGCTGAAACACTTCCACCAAAGACTAAAGATATACCTAGGTTTATTAGAACAGCGACAAGAGTAGCCATCATTGAACTGTCTCCAGCTGCCTCTAGTTTGGCTTTAGTCTCAGGATTAATGTAGTCGTATTTGTTCAAGTAGGTATAAAGTGGTTTCAGTGCCATTCCATTTCCAGTAGGGTCTTTATAGGTATTCGGGGATAAGAAGGTAAGAGACAATCTCTCTTTTTCCTCTCCCTTCAACGATTAGTAGACACTCAATTCTATTACTATGATCTAAACAGGATCAGTGATCTTATAAGCGTCACTGAGTTTCCAATCAAACTTGTATTAACTCTGAATACCCGTTATCTACACATCAAGCGTGTTTGAGTTTAGCTCTTCGCTTAGTATGACTTCCTCATCGAACTCAATATAGATAAGGTTATTAGCAGTAACCATACTTACTCTAGGTGTAGGATTCTTATTGTCTTAGCAGATACTTGGTGTGTACTTAGTTCCAGGAGTGCAATAGTACCCTTGCTCGATACTACAAGTAGACGAGCAACCGTCTCCATTTATTAAGTTCCCATCGTCACATTGATAAAATCCATAATTGAAACCATCACCACATATTTCAATACATTCTGTAGAGCTATCATCTAGAGGTTCTGTCATTCCTGGTTGCTGATTGCAACTCAAACATTGCTAAGCCACAAATTTATCTTTAGCTTTGCAAGATAAACAATCGTACTTACTGACTCCTTAGCAAGTCTAGCAAGTTGAGTCGCATTCAAAGCAGGAGAGCTAAGGCTTTAAGGCTCTGTACTAGGTGTCTAGACAAGTAAAGTGAGTGCATTCTCCATCGTTTAACTGGTAAGGTCCGTACACACAAGAGGTGCAGAAATTGAGAGAGTTGCAAGTGGCGCATTCGGGTTTGCATGGGCTACAAATCTTAAGTATGTAGTCAGGATAGAAGCCGTCAGGACATGTTGATAGGCAAGAAGTCTTGTGCTAAAAATAGCCGATTCCAGTATCAAGATTCTCAGCACACGTGTAGCATTAATTTTAAGATATGCCAAAGCAACTTGAGCATTTTGGATCGCAGGATCTGCAGGTATCATTAACTAGGAACTCATCAAAAGCACAAGCTGATACACATAGCTTGCCCTTTCTGTAATATCCTGGTGAACAGATAGTGCACATGTCTGGACCAGCTCCAGTGCAAGTTTCACATGAATAATGACACATTAAACATTGGTTTGTTACATCATCTGGATAGTAACCATCTTCACAATATGTCCTGCAAGTAGTGCCCTACCACTCTAGGTAATACCCAGGACTGCAACTTGAGCAGTCACTGGCAAACCTTGTAGTACACACCACACATGCTTTGTTGCAACCTTGGCATGTCTTGCTTGTAACATCTGGGAACTTGTTGTCATCGCATTTATCTTTGCACATTCCGCTTGTTTGATATAAAGCTGGGTTTGCACATTTGATGCACTTGTCCTAGCCAGGGCCACTACACAGAGCGCAATCTGCATGACAAGGATCACACTCCATTGTCTACGAATTGGAATAAAATCCAGGAGGGCAAACATCAAAGCAAGATTAATCCTTTTGGAAGTACCCTAATTAGCACTCATCACATTAAGTATTTAAGTCTCCAAAGCAAGTCTTGCAATACGGATGGCATTTGCTGCAAATTTTAATTTCTTTTCCATTCATTGATTACTTTCGCTCGTAAAATGACCCACTTCCTCCTTGAGTCACTAATTAGTCCTTACAATCCTATAAAATATTTATTGATCCTCAAAGAATACCTCAACGCATAAAAATGGCGGATAAAAGCTTTTATCATCTTTGCAGTAAAAACATTATGACTTTTCTGGACCAAAGCATTCTTAGCAATTGCCATGGCAGATATCACACTTGTTATTGCCCTTATCATAGTAGTAGCCAGATTTGCAAGTGCAGTTTCCATAGGTTTTAGAGTATAGAGAGTTGTAATCATTTCCATTTCTGCTGCAACTCACACAATCAGCCACATTTGGACCGGTGCAATGCTCACAAAATTTATGGCAAATATCACAATTCTCGCCATATTCTCTTAAATTGCACTTACTAAGGCATTTATTGGTCTCAAGAGGACAAATCTCACATTGGTCTTGGTTTCCAATCTGTCCGCATGAAGTACTATAAGACAAACTCATTTCTTACTAAGTCTTCGCATAAGAATATATCTTCATACTCTTGTAAATCATTGTCAAGCTGTTCTCGATTTTAAGTCTAGCAGTATCAGAATATTGAAAAAGAGGGTCTTCTTGAGAATCAATTAGATTCTTAGCACTAAAAATGATTATGAAAATATTTATACTAGTATGAGTTGACTTGAAGTTAGACCTATTAGGCAAAATAAAGTGTAGCATTTGTGGGACTTTAATACTTGAATCTATTAAATGTTATCTGGAAGAAGTGCCAATTTGTTGAGCTAAATATATCAGCATCAGGCATCTACACAATTCTTTTGCCTGCACTGTCTTCAATCCCGATAGATGAAGTTATGTTATCAATGAAAACCTCTAATAGAGTATTCCCATCACCATCTATGATTCTAAATGGTCTCACTGATTTATCGGTTACAGGATAATGAAAATCATCTTTGGATAAGTATTTTCTGAGCCAAATATCAACTGTAAATTGTGGGTAACTATATAGATTTGGAGATAATACAGATCTTAAGTAAGACAGGCCATAGAACATATATCCTTAGCCATATATTCTGGAAACTTCATTAGAGGTAATATCATCTAAAGGTTCCTTCATGAAATTTATACCGTTTCCTGACTTGTCCTTAATGTACTTGGTAATCTTAGTTTCATCGTCAAAGTCCCAATTTGCTAGAATAATTTTATAATTGCTATTTTCTGTAGGACACTTTAGAGTTGCATCAACAGTAGGTGAGGTTGTAAATTCTTACAATCCAATTATACAAAATTTGCAAGCAATCAAGCCCTAGCATGTGGGAGTCATTGAATTTCCTGCTCTGAAGAAATATTAATCAAATTCAGAATCTCTATCTATATTTGAAAAACTCTTCCATATATAAAGTCTTGATATTATGACAGATGGCCCAAATCGTTACTCTTAGTTATTGAAGCAATATGCCCCAATAAAAGTATCACATTTTTTCGCTTCAGCATCCATGTATATTTTACCATTTTCTGTAAAAACTACATTATCATTTCCATTTGGTCCTCCTCTAATTCTCATAGATATCATAGTTTTGGTATAAGAAGAAGAGTCAACTGAAAGAGCAAGTAGAAACCACCCTCCTTATGCTAATTTAGCATTAGAACCTGCATATCTAGTAACTTGACCATATAAAACTATATTAACAATAAGTTCCATGAATCAGTGGAATATGAAGTAATAAATATTTAAGAAATAATTTGTCTTACGAGCTCCTGGATATGGCACCTAATTTACTTTCGCCATAAATTAGATTTTATCAGTCTACCAACTCAATCCCAATTAGTACAATATGTTATTTACCCCTGGATTTTCAAATTTTTACTGAGTTATATATGTTTCTTGCCTTCCTCTACAGAATTAACTTGTAGCATCACAAAAAGGCATTTTTATCCAAACTGCTATTAGAAACTTATCTGTCATTTGAAGGTTATTTGAATTCTCAAGCCTTAAAGAATCAGTAGGAGTTGTGAACTATAGCCCTTCTGGACCGGCTTAAGGCCAAGATATCTATTAACTTGGACATTTCCTCTCAGCTAATTAAAGTTTTAGCTAAAATGATATATTTATTGCTTACTTAAAAATCCAAAAGCTGTAATATCACTTTTGGTTCTTTGATCAAAGGCATATTTCATTCCATTAACACTCTTTATCTTTGCAAAATCATAATAATGATTTGGGGCACTTGTCTAGCATCCACAAATACTTATTTAGGCATAGATTATAAGCATTAAGCAAAACATATGATTTTTTAAATATAGCTATTTGCCTTTTTTCATTATTAGTTAAAATTATAATTAAATCTCTTGCACCAAATATTCTTTCTTCACTAATTGAGTTAATATTTAGCATCATGGGGTTTTGGGGTTTTGGGGTTTTGGGG